TGACAACTGTGCTATGCACAAGACCTCCTACCCCATACCCAAAAAGAACACAGTTCCTCTTGCACCTCCTTCTGGGTAGACTTCTATTATTCACGCTAGAACTTCTAGCTTCTAAGCGATAGTACAAGGCAAGCAAGAAGGGCCATTTTCTCCTTCAGATCTAGTGAAATCTTGCTAAAGGTTGTGACAACAATCGTTGACTTTTGCAACGATGAAATACTACCGACTGAAGAGCTGCAATCATTACTTCCCCTCAACTTAAGTACGTCGAGAATCTTTAGAGGCAAGTTTGAAGCTTAAAGAAATAATTTGTGTGCTCAAAACTAAATTGTTATGAGGTCAGAAGCATCTACTCTGCCACACACCCCAGACTCTGTATGCCTCCCAAGCCAACCCCAAGCACTCTCAAGCAGCTGTTAACAATGGTCAGCATTGTACATGCTCATGCAAGGAGGTTAGGCAGGCCCACCAGGCATGGGGCTTTGGTGTTGGATAAGCATTTCAATTATCATAAGCAAGAGCTTGGGGAACGGGGAGGGCACTTACCGTCTGGAAAGGGACTGCATCCCCAGGGGCACTTTAGCACCTTGGAGGAGTAAAGTGGGAGGGGGTTTAAGGGACAGAGATCAACCTACCTTTTTTCAGATCCCTCACCACCCATTACTATACTCCATTACTGCATAATCCAAATAACTTCTCAATTACAGCAAGTGTTACAGTGTAGTTCTATAGAAGATGAACTTATGTGTGCAAGAGGTACAGATTGTGGTCATAGACTGCACTGGGCTATAACATAGTTTGTTTTTATAAACCCAATCACTTGCAACAGCACTTAGACTTATATACCGTTTCATAGTGCCTTGCAGCACTTTCTAAGTCAGGGGTATCAAACTGCCAGCCCGCAGGCCGGTTGCATCATACGGCGGCCATGCCCACCCCAGTTCCGGCAATGCAAAAAAAGTCGCGATACGTCACGACATGTCACGTGACGCGGCGAGTTTGACACCCGTGGTCTAAGCGGTTTACAAAGTCAGCCTATTGCCCCCAACAATCTGGGTCCTCATTTTATCAACCTTGGAAGGATGGAAAGCTGAGTCAACTTTGAACCTATCAGGATCGAACTCCTGGCTGTGGGCAGAGTCAGCCTGCAATACAGCATTGTAAGCACTGCACTACCATGGCTCTTACCATGATCTATGGATTGGCTTTTTGAATGAACCAGGTCACAACGGCTTGTTAAACAAATTACGGTTTGTGATGTATGAATTCAGTTACACAGTAACAAACCTGGGTTACAGGTCACCTGACAAAGTTATCAGACTCAGGGTAGCCTCAAAACTTCCACGCTGGATTTGCTCTCTATACAAAGAGTGGAGAAAGAGAACAGCTGAGCACTGAGAGGAAGGGTAGGAGGAGGGATACACCACACTGCAGCCACACCCAGTTGGTTCCATGCAGCTTAGCAAGCCACACGATTAACAAAACGTTTGCACCTCAACCCAAAGTGTAGGATCGCACTGGGGCTTGGCAGGAGAGACAGTTTACTTTCTCCAAGGCAGAACCAATTACTCAAGTCCCCAGAGCAGAGGAGGTGCCAAAAGTCACGTTTAGGGATATATTAATCAAAACTTTCCCAAGCCATCAGTAATCATTCCCACAATGCACCAAGTATGGACAAGGTCTGCTAAATTTAGCATACCCTGCAAGGCATTGAGATTTTCCCTCCGACTGAGAACTAGTGAACTTACAGAAGATCAATGGCACCTCACTGTAAGCACTTGACACATATTTTGGAATTATATCTGGAAAGCAAGAGTAGAAAAGTAAGTTTTATCTATAATATACCTGGCCTCCAAAAGGAACCCACCTGATGCTCCAAGTCATGACAATGTTGGCGCATGTCATCTGTCTCCTCTAGGTCATCACTGAGGAAGTAATACTTTCGGGACTGTAAATCAAGGCAAAGGAATGAATCAGGGAAGAACTACATGATCATAAACACACTCAAGTAACTCAATCCAATGCATGTTTTGCCTCCTCTTCCTCATCACACAGAAAAAGGCAGAGCTCTCCATTCCTGAATAAGTAATACGCATTAGTTTGACCAGTTATATAATTCATTGGGATACCTGACTGTCGAAGTTCCCATATGTCTCTGAACTTAATGCGTCTGATGAATCTTTGGTCAACAGCTGCAAGAGAAAAGAATATCAGTGTAGAATCTAATTACATATACAGTACATAGAGACATTATTTTTCAACAGACATAAATTAACTAAGAGACTTTGTAAGGTCATCCTGGAGAAGACCAAAACTATTTTGGCATCTGGGCACTATTCATTATAATTAAAACTACAGTGAAGCCGTTGGTTGGGAAGTAGTGTGATTGTAGTTTGAGAATGAAGGGCAGTCAAAAGAAGGCTTCCAGTTCCAGACTGAATTATTTTCATGCCAGATGGCAGTCCAAAACCACACTTACCTCCTGAATAGCTGTCATAACAACATGCTGAACCGATTCTTCCAAGGTCATGATTTGCTGGATGTAATCTACAAATATATTAAATTAATAGCTCAAATTAAGATTGAATTTGTTCTTTCCTTTCTTTACTCAACGCCCCAGACTACCCTTTTATTTGAATCGTGATGCTATGATAGTTGATCAGCCTTACATTAGAGAATAGGGCTAGAAAGTGGGTAGGGCAGAATATCAGATGTTAGCACAAAGAGTTTGCCTCAATTTTAAGCAAGTGACATCCCTATGGAATCAAAGGGGGAAGAAAGGGAAAAGGAAAACTAAAAGAAGAGGAGGGAAGTGGGATCAGCAGATTCTATAACTTCTAAACTTAGTGCTAATGAAATTCCAAGCAAGTTAAGAATTTACTGTAAATAGGAAAGCAACACCACATTTTGGACAGCTGCTTGCTAGCCTCTCCATACCAATATTTAAAGTACTCACTGCTAAGATGTTCTCCTGGCATAAATGTCTATGCAGCCTTATCATCTCCCCCCTCCGTACTATCAAATTGCACACACATACCTTGCTTCTTCTCACAGCTGATGGCACAGCCTAGTATCAGCTGTAGTAATTTCCCAAGCTCAGCCGAATCCGACAGTTCTCCAACCAAGGCTACATCAGGCAACAGCTGCTCTGGGACTTGGTGGCCCAGCACCTTAGGGGATATGTAGAGAGCAGTAAAAAAAATACCTCCTAGCTGCCCATGGGCATTCTAGCATTCCAGCTATTACTATTTATTTAACTTGGCTTACCTGGTGGAAACACAATCCTTGTCAAACAGAACTGAAGGTAGGGGCAATGTATGCAGAAGTTGGAAAGTTAGATTTTAAGAGCATTGTTGTTGTTTTTTTTAAAAAAGCCACTTGCCCAATAAGTACGACAAACAACAACTCAGACTGACATATGTGATCTGTTCCTCAAGCCTTCTCACTTTCATTTATCTATAAACTCTCTAGATCAAATTTGAACCAAGTTCTCACTAGCTAAAGCCCATTCTGAGTCTCAACAGAGTAGGAAGTGGGAAACCAACCAACCAACCTGTATATACATAGAAAATGAAACATTATATTCAACATATCTGAAGTAGTGCTAAGCGACAAAATCTACGGATACAAAACAAGGGATGCAGACGGAAGCTAGAAACCCGTACTTTTTTAATGCTGACTTTAATGTGTGTGAAATGGATAACCCGAGATTCTTCATTTGAAAGCATACCCTTGCTTATTTAATGTCTCAGTAATATTAACAATTATATTACCACTCTACCAGCAAACTCAGCCTATGGAATATACTCACATCCTGGGAGTATTCAACCACACTTTGCAGGATCTTTTTCAGGTTGCTCACCTGGGTAAGAAAAATGGCAAAGATATGTGTAGACTTGCCCAAGTCTTCCTGTTTTCAGCAATCTTCAAGAAGCCACCAAATTGAAATCCAATATTCCCAGTAATGAGATAGGAAGAGCAATCATGCTACTTAGCAAGTTTCAATGCTACCTTGATAGCAAGAAGAGTTGTGATGATTTAGTGGGCAAGAAAGCATGATACAAGCCAGGTCAATTGCCACTGCTTGGTGAAGATGGCTTACTACTAAGTGCCACATTCATTTTCAAGCCAAACAGCTGATTCTATTTGGACAGCAAAGTTCTCCTGTCATCATGATGCCATCATGTTATGAACTTTCTATAGTATCTTTCAGTCTTCTGGCCCCAGTGCATTTCTTCCTCTTCTCCACTTTCTATAAAGCTGAAGCTATATTGCATCATCATGCAATCAACTCATTTCTGGACACCTCATTGCCATTTAATGATCTCCAAATAAATATTTTCTTTTCTTCAAAAGCTCTACTTCACCCCTTCCCATTTCTCTATGAGCAATTAAAGACATTAGACTTTAACAATTGAAATTATATGCACTTGGCTCTTTGTGTTTGGCTTAACAATGCTAACTTGACATTTGTTTTACCACAGAAATATAACACAGCAAGACAAAGCCAGGATCGAGTAATGGATAATTTCCCGGGGACATGATAGCAGTGTTCCAATATCTCAGGGGCTGCCACAAAGAAGAGGGAGTCAAGCTATTCTCCAAGGCGCCTGAAGGCAGGACGAGAAGCAATGGGTGGAAACTGATCAAGGAGAGAAGCAACCTAGAACTAAGGAGAAACTTCCTGACAGTTAGAACAATTAACCAATGGAACAACCTGCCTCCAGAAGTGG